CTTATAACAAAATTTAAGCAAACATTTTATAAATACAATTCTTTCTTTGACAATTAAGAGACTAATGAATTCCGCTTAAATAAAAAATTATTTTATTTTATATAGCAATAAATTATATAAAACATTCGTGCTGCATGAAGTTTCATCTATTATCTGCGGTATCATACATGTAGATTTAAAAGTATATGTTTTTACTATCTTAATTAATGCAATACCTGTTTTGTAATGCGCGGATGTTCCCGGGGTTAATGATTCTTAAATCCTTTCGCGCATTTAAATAAAGACTTTTCTGCAGAACAACTTTCAACTACCGGTTCACAATACACTACGATAGATAATTGCAACAGTCACGTGATCATTATAGTTTCTTCGTGGGAAAAATATGTAATGAAAGTTTTCCACGTACAGATTAAATATGTTGATTAAAAGATCGATTAGCCCAGTCTATAACGATAAATTCACAAAAGAAGCAACATTGGATTTCATGATTAGAAAGTTCTAACGCTGAAATCCCATCCGGATTGTTCAGAACGATGATCGACGGACCACCAAACTAAAACTTCGTTGCATCAATCACGAGAGGAGAGACCGTAATTACCTGCAAATATCTGCATCGGCAAAGGTTCAGGTGTGTCAATCACTCCGACTGACAGAAGGAATGCTCGCGCGAACATTCGCGCTTGTCGTGCACTGATTTTACTCGCATGCACACGAGTTCTCAGGTCGAGGGAGTACGTTGGGTTTCTTGCATCTTTCGTCGATCATTTTTCAACGATGTCGCGTTCAATCACACGCGGTGACGTCCTCGTCGATAGCACCGTGACATTTTTCACGTGGAAGAAACTCGCCGCGATTAATCCTCTCCGACGACAATCGCACCGATTTTCTACGACGCCTCGGTGTCAATCACACGATCACGATTACGGGATGCCGCCATGGACTGTTGCCGACTGTAGCGCCTTGCATCCAGGTTCATTAGTCGCGTTGTCGAGCCTAATCGATCGCGAGACGCGAGTTTTTACGCGCGATTCCGCGCGGTGATTGCGAAAACCCGTGCGGAATACGGATAGTAGGCCAAGTAGAAACAGACGAGCCAGAATTGCCAACCGCCCTGTGGTAAAAGTCCCCTTCGCTCGGAGAAACCGCGCGCCTACGGAAATACGACGAGATCTCACTTTTCCTCAGCTGCAGTTTATATGAATTACTAATATACGTGTTGAACTCTTGCTGATTTCAAAGTGGCATAGCGTATCTTCAATATTTTTTTATCTCGCTAAGTGAAGCGTCAGATTTACCTTTTACCTTTTCAGAACCGACACCGAATGAATGGAAATATATTAATCTTTGTAAATTAGAAATTTATTTTTCAGAAAAATCAAGTAAAATTCTCTTTCCGAGAGAAAATAATTGGTTCTGGAAATGGTTGAATTTTTTGAATCTTGTATTTAAAGTTGCAGGGATGAAAGATAACACGTGGTCAGACATTCTTGTTGATTCAAAATTCCCGTCAATGAAACAGAGACGCGAAATAAAATAAACGTTATAATTTTCTCAAAAACTCGTCGAGTTGAAAGAACTTGCACAGACACAACACACACGAGTATTTGTTCGTATATTATCTGGTTTATTTATTTGGAAGAAAGATTCCTATTCGATAAAAATCAGAGATGATCTTGTAATTTTCGCCCCTATCGTGCAATCATTTTTATTCGAGAAGAGAGGAGAAAATCTCGTTCATATTATCCATACCGGACAGTGTCACTATCGGCCGACCTCACGATGGATTTTCACGTAGCGAAAATGAGCTAGAGAGCTGTTTTCCGACAATGCGCAGTCGCGGTATTATCACTCGCCGCCGTCATACATTTGCACTTCACCGACTCCACGGTGAATGCGCGGAATATGTATATTACCTCGCGGCGCACATTCAAGCACACAATCCGCGATTGGCCGACCGCGGTACATTTCAAACGTCGGCCTTACACAGCATGCATCGGCAGCAGTCGTTAACAAAGCATTCGCCAAAGTAATTCGCTTGTCGTGCGACATCTGATATCTCTCGTGCGTGAAGTATCATCGCAACAAGTATAAATTCCTCGATATTTGCGAGTACGTAGCCCTGTGTCGCGGAAAGAAATAATACTCACCGGTCGTTGCACAATTTTTTACTGCCACGAAATAACGAGGTACATTTTTTTGGGGACAGAAAAGGGAAAAGTGAGATATGCAAATATGTTATATACAGATATCGATTAGTTTAAAATCTTTTTCTTTAATAAACAGTTTAATGCACATCAGCATTATTCTTTCAAAAATTATTCCTTTTAAAAATTATATTGCGTTCAATTACGTAATACTATTAAAATTTTAATTGTTTGTGACTCAGTAATAACCATTATTTTTCTTAATATGTTCTTCATTATCGCTAATTAAGAAGTATATGAACAAGAGATATTTCGCATACGATGAATGTAAGGTAAAATAAAAAACACAGATAGTTCAATAAATTTTACATAATATTTATTATTTATAGTGTACTCAGAAATGTCGGGCCTCAACCAGTGGGCCTTCTTCTTTTGACATATTTGATCAATGAACATCACAATGTTAATTTTCCTCTAGTCCGTATAATTACTTCTCTTCTCTATTAAGAGCGACGCGCAATCTGCTCGTGTCGCTGCGGTGGAACACACATACAAGCATTACGACGGCCTATATCTCTGCATTGTATGAAATACTCGAGATTCTCTCGTTCGTTGCGCTGAACAGGCCATAAAACCGCGAGGTCAAATTCGCTCGTGGGGGAACGACGGACAAAGTAGATTGTCACGAGCGGTATTTAATGCAGTGGTCACGTAAAAAGTAGCTCGTGAAACTCAAACGACGTAACGAGCGGATTGCGCGTAGCAAAAAATAGATATGTCCAGCTTCGCGACTCTTGGTTCTCACTCGCAATTCAACATGCCAGCATATTCGTACAACAAAACATCGAATAACAACTGCATATAAAAACAAAACGAAAGGAAGAGGGTCTATCTCAGTCGCAACTTGTTCGTAAGTTTTGAATTTCGATCGGCGCGCGTATTCTCGACAACTAATATAATGATCCGATAACTATATTAAAACATAACGTGTTGTATTAGTAAAACATTTTTCCTTCTTTACGTATTGGATAAGTCATCGCCAAATATTTATACAGTCCGTTTTCTCGCCATATCGGAAAACAGTTTCGCTTTATGTTGTCCATATCGGGCCGACATTCGAGGAGTTCCCAAAAATGATGGGGTTTTAAAGGAGATGAAGGAAGAGGAGGGCGGGAGAGGGAACGGGGGGGAGTGACTTTCCTTTTTTCTCTTTTTATCTCGTATTACAGCAACCAACCACATTCCCACTGTACACGCCTCTTTCTCTGCTCAATTCTTCGTCCTCTTTCGCGGACAATGCAAAATTAAAATACGCACGCATCGCGACGGGGAATGAAACGCCCTACTCGGACAAGGAGATTCGCATTCATCTCGATTACGTTTGTCGAATTATCACGTCCGCGTCGTTTCCATCTCCGACGCGACAAATTGAAAATTCTCCGCGGGCCAGTCGTTAAGAATTCAAGATTATCAAATAGCAACAATGTCATTCTTCTATTATTTTTCTTTTTCCATTGCATTATAATATTGCTCACAATTTTACTATTTTATTACAGTATAGGAACAATTGACATCAATATAATTTCAAGTAATTAGCAAATAAATATTAAAGAAATATATATTTCAAAATGTGTGTATCTATATATGTATGTCGGAATATAATATATCTTTATTTGCGTACACACACAATATTAATATATTTTACAAAATTCATCTATTTAAAAAATATATTCTTTTTTTTTCAATTAGATAATACAATTTCGCGTCTTTACTGCAATTCTTTATTGTCAAACAAAAAAAATCAATGTAATGTATCTTCAGTTTAAAAAATAGAGAATTTGATTTGTTAAAAAAATATCAATTGTTTCCTTAAATATAAAATAGAGTTTTGTTAACTACATTAAAAGCGGGTCGCAGAGATTGCAATTTCAAAGTAAATGTGGCGATTGATTTCGTTATTTAAGTCGTCTACATGTCGCTTGCTGTCAAATTTATACAAAGTTGAACACGATGTTACAACTTCGAATCGAATCTTAATGACTGGTCGGCGGGTGCTTGCTAATAAATGACGCGGAGGCGGCAGTGGCGCGAGGGGTACATTTAAGTTCTCATTATATAGGAATCGAGGGGACCCCCAATATTCGAAAAACTTGGTAAAAATATCAGTATTATGTATATATATATATATATATATATATATATATATATATATATATATATATATATATATATATATATATATATATATATATATATATATATATATATATATATATATATATATATATATATATATATATATATATATATATATATATATATATATATATATATATATATATATATACATAATACTGATATTTTTACCAAGTTTTTCGAATATTGGGGGTCCCCTCGATTCCTATATAATGAGAACTTAAATGTACCCCTCGCGCCACTGCCGCCTCCGCGTCATTTATTAGCAAGCACCCGCCGACCAGTCATTAAGATTCGATTCGAAGTTGTAACATCGTGTTCAACTTTGTATAAATTTGACAGCAAGCGACATGTAGACGACTTAAATAACGAAATCAATCGCCACATTTACTTTGAAATTGCAATCTCTGCGACCCGCTTTTAATGTAGTTAACAAAACTCTATTTTATATTTAAGGAAACAATTGATATTTTTTTAACAAATCAAATTCTCTATTTTTTAAACTGAAGATACATTACATTGATTTTTTTTGTTTGACAATAAAGAATTGCAGTAAAGACGCGAAATTGTATTATCTAATTGAAAAAAAAAGAATATATTTTTTAAATAGATGAATTTTGTAAAATATATTAATATTGTGTGTGTACGCAAATAAAGATATATTATATTCCGACATACATATATAGATACACACATTTTGAAATATATATTTCTTTAATATTTATTTGCTAATTACTTGAAATTATATTGATGTCAATTGTTCCTATACTGTAATAAAATAGTAAAATTGTGAGCAATATTATAATGCAATGGAAAAAGAAAAATAATAGAAGAATGACATTGTTGCTATTTGATAATCTTGAATTCTTAACGACTGGCCCGCGGAGAATTTTCAATTTGTCGCGTCGGAGATGGAAACGACGCGGACGTGATAATTCGACAAACGTAATCGAGATGAATGCGAATCTCCTTGTCCGAGTAGGGCGTTTCATTCCCCGTCGCGATGCGTGCGTATTTTAATTTTGCATTGTCCGCGAAAGAGGACGAAGAATTGAGCAGAGAAAGAGGCGTGTACAGTGGGAATGTGGTTGGTTGCTGTAATACGAGATAAAAAGAGAAAAAAGGAAAGTCACTCCCCCCCGTTCCCTCTCCCGCCCTCCTCTTCCTTCATCTCCTTTAAAACCCCATCATTTTTGGGAACTCCTCGAATGTCGGCCCGATATGGACAACATAAAGCGAAACTGTTTTCCGATATGGCGAGAAAACGGACTGTATAAATATTTGGCGATGACTTATCCAATACGTAAAGAAGGAAAAATGTTTTACTAATACAACACGTTATGTTTTAATATAGTTATCGGATCATTATATTAGTTGTCGAGAATACGCGCGCCGATCGAAATTCAAAACTTACGAACAAGTTGCGACTGAGATAGACCCTCTTCCTTTCGTTTTGTTTTTATATATAGTTGTTATTCGATGTTTTGTTGTACGAATATGCTGGCATGTTGAATTGCGAGTGAGAACCAAGAGTCGCGAAGCTGGACATATCTATTTTTTGCTACGCGCAATCCGCTCGTTACGTCGTTTGAGTTTCACGAGCTACTTTTTACGTGACCACTGCATTAAATACCGCTCGTGACAATCTACTTTGTCCGTCGTTCCCCCACGAGCGAATTTGACCTCGCGGTTTTATGGCCTGTTCAGCGCAACGAACGAGAGAATCTCGAGTATTTCATACAATGCAGAGATATAGGCCGTCGTAATGCTTGTATGTGTGTTCCACCGCAGCGACACGAGCAGATTGCGCGTCGCTCTTAATAGAGAAGAGAAGTAATTATACGGACTAGAGGAAAATTAACATTGTGATGTTCATTGATCAAATATGTCAAAAGAAGAAGGCCCACTGGTTGAGGCCCGACATTTCTGAGTACACTATAAATAATAAATATTATGTAAAATTTATTGAACTATCTGTGTTTTTTATTTTACCTTACATTCATCGTATGCGAAATATCTCTTGTTCATATACTTCTTAATTAGCGATAATGAAGAACATATTAAGAAAAATAATGGTTATTACTGAGTCACAAACAATTAAAATTTTAATAGTATTACGTAATTGAACGCAATATAATTTTTAAAAGGAATAATTTTTGAAAGAATAATGCTGATGTGCATTAAACTGTTTATTAAAGAAAAAGATTTTAAACTAATCGATATCTGTATATAACATATTTGCATATCTCACTTTTCCCTTTTCTGTCCCCAAAAAAATGTACCTCGTTATTTCGTGGCAGTAAAAAATTGTGCAACGACCGGTGAGTATTATTTCTTTCCGCGACACAGGGCTACGTACTCGCAAATATCGAGGAATTTATACTTGTTGCGATGATACTTCACGCACGAGAGATATCAGATGTCGCACGACAAGCGAATTACTTTGGCGAATGCTTTGTTAACGACTGCTGCCGATGCATGCTGTGTAAGGCCGACGTTTGAAATGTACCGCGGTCGGCCAATCGCGGATTGTGTGCTTGAATGTGCGCCGCGAGGTAATATACATATTCCGCGCATTCACCGTGGAGTCGGTGAAGTGCAAATGTATGACGGCGGCGAGTGATAATACCGCGACTGCGCATTGTCGGAAAACAGCTCTCTAGCTCATTTTCGCTACGTGAAAATCCATCGTGAGGTCGGCCGATAGTGACACTGTCCGGTATGGATAATATGAACGAGATTTTCTCCTCTCTTCTCGAATAAAAATGATTGCACGATAGGGGCGAAAATTACAAGATCATCTCTGATTTTTATCGAATAGGAATCTTTCTTCCAAATAAATAAACCAGATAATATACGAACAAATACTCGTGTGTGTTGTGTCTGTGCAAGTTCTTTCAACTCGACGAGTTTTTGAGAAAATTATAACGTTTATTTTATTTCGCGTCTCTGTGTTTCATTGACGGGAATTTTGAATCAACAAGAATGTCTGATCACGTGTTATCTTTCATCCCTGCAACTTTAAATACAAGATTCAAAAAATTCAACCATTTCCAGAACCAATTATCTTCTCTCGGAAAGAGAATTTTACTTGATTTTTCTGAAAAATAAATTTCTAATTTACAAAGATTAATATATTTCCATTCATTCGGTGTCGGTTCTGAAAAGGTAAAAGGTAAATCTGACGCTTCACTTAGCGAGATAAAAAAATATTGAAGATACGCTATGCCACTTTGAAATCAGCAAGAGTTCAACACGTATATTAGTAATTCATATAAACTGCAGCTGAGGAAAAGTGAGATCTCGTCGTATTTCCGTAGGCGCGCGGTTTCTCCGAGCGAAGGGGACTTTTACCACAGGGCGGTTGGCAATTCTGGCTCGTCTGTTTCTACTTGGCCTACTATCCGTATTCCGCACGGGTTTTCGCAATCACCGCGCGGAATCGCGCGTAAAAACTCGCGTCTCGCGATCGATTAGGCTCGACAACGCGACTAATGAACCTGGATGCAAGGCGCTACAGTCGGCAACAGTCCATGGCGGCATCCCGTAATCGTGATCGTGTGATTGACACCGAGGCGTCGTAGAAAATCGGTGCGATTGTCGTCGGAGAGGATTAATCGCGGCGAGTTTCTTCCACGTGAAAAATGTCACGGTGCTATCGACGAGGACGTCACCGCGTGTGATTGAACGCGACATCGTTGAAAAATGATCGACGAAAGATGCAAGAAACCCAACGTACTCCCTCGACCTGAGAACTCGCGTGCATGCGAGTAAAATCAGTGCACGACAAGCGCGAATGTTCGCGCGAGCATTCCTTCTGTCAGTCGGAGTGATTGACACACCTGAACCTTTGCCGATGCAGATATTTGCAGGTAATTACGGTCTCTCCTCTCGTGATTGATGCAACGAAGTTTTAGTTTGGTGGTCCGTCGATCATCGTTCTGAACAATCCGGATGGGATTTCAGCGTTAGAACTTTCTAATCATGAAATCCAATGTTGCTTCTTTTGTGAATTTATCGTTATAGACTGGGCTAATCGATCTTTTAATCAACATATTTAATCTGTACGTGGAAAACTTTCATTACATATTTTTCCCACGAAGAAACTATAATGATCACGTGACTGTTGCAATTATCTATCGTAGTGTATTGTGAACCGGTAGTTGAAAGTTGTTCTGCAGAAAAGTCTTTATTTAAATGCGCGAAAGGATTTAAGAATCATTAACCCCGGGAACATCCGCGCATTACAAAACAGGTATTGCATTAATTAAGATAGTAAAAACATATACTTTTAAATCTACATGTATGATACCGCAGATAATAGATGAAACTTCATGCAGCACGAATGTTTTATATAATTTATTGCTATATAAAATAAAATAATTTTTTATTTAAGCGGAATTCATTAGTCTCTTAATTGTCAAAGAAAGAATTGTATTTATAAAATGTTTGCTTAAATTTTGTTATAAGTTTAATTATATATAATACAATTTGAATCTATGACAAATATATCCGCAAAAGTAATAGATATATCGGCAGTTCATCGGCTTCGTTTGATCACGCTTGTAACACGCGACTGTTTCCACTTGACTTTGTCATGCTGGTCAAAGATTGCACTGATTTATTCGGTTAATCGATTTTCCTTGTAATAAAGGAAAAACCATTATGCTACGTAAAAATTATTATTTCGATATCAATATATTACATTAATGTAAATTTCTGTTAATAATTTATACTACAATTATAATATAATTGTCTTTTGTGCTAATTTCTCATGATGATTTTAAATCGAATAATTATTTTTAATCAACATCAATGTTGTGTATTTTATTATGTAATTTTTAAATAATTTTTAAATTTATTCTATCGAGTTTTATTCTGTCGGATTCTCAGCATTATGATCTATTCAAAAGCAATATGTTTATCATATCAAGAGGTAATCGGAATTTACACGAAGATAAAAAGAATAAATTCATATTATTCGATAATAATGATCATTAGTGTTCAAAATTATTTTGTGCTTGCAAAAATTTCATACAAATTTAAATTAACATGTAATATTCAGTTTTTAATTTTTCTGCAACTCGTATCGTATAATGCGAGTCACGTTTTTTTAATAAAAAGTAATAACAGTTTATTTACATGATATGTTTTAATTTTTGAGCCATAATTCATTTACTTTTATATCTCAAAGTGTAATTTGGATAAACATATATAACAATATTGTACAAAATAATTATTTATAAGTATGTTATGATAATGTATAGCTGCCCATTTCTTGCAAAATATAAATCAATATATCGTTTATAGAAAATTATTATTTGACCAATATCAATGATTAGTGTAATTTTTGAATATATCTCTCACTTTCTAGAATTATGCACGCTACTTTAAGTATCATAGAAACAAAGTTCAAAAACATCGCACGACGTGTAAAATTAGCATAAACATATCTCGATATGAATATAATCTTCTCTCTGCAGAAGCGGTAGTAATACCAATACAAGAAGTATAGATTACAGACATTCTGCCAAGAAGTTTTGCCATTTTAAATTGAAGTACACATTCTGTTTCTATCATGGACGATGATATGGACGATAAAGATGACACAAAGCGGTAAAGGCATATAAAAAATTCTTATACAATCATTTGTTAATGCTTATTCCAATAAATAAATATTTGCCTTTTAGAAAATCGCGTAATCTCAGCGAAAAAAAACGCAGAGATCAATTTAACATGCTTGTGAACGAGCTTGGGAGCATGATCAGTGCTAATACACGGAAAATGGACAAATCTACAGTGCTGAAATCGACGATTCTATTTCTAAAGAAACACAATGGTAGGTGCAAGATCTTTACAGCATTCCATTTATCTCCTTTAATGTTTTTATAATTGAAACTATTTGGCCTTTTATATTAATACTCAACATTAGATTAGAATAAATACAGTACTTATCACATTTGGATAAACTCTTGAACCTGTATTTTTTATTGAAATTAAATTATATATAGTAATTGATTATTTCAGAGATAGCAGTTAGATCGAGAGTTCATGAGATTCAAGAAAATTGGAAACCGTCTTTTCTCTCCAACGAGGAGTTTACTCACCTTATATTGGAGGTAAAATTGTTTATAATAAAAATCATAAGTCTACAGTAAATCTTATAGTATGTATATATTAGATATTTACTGTCATTATATAAACTTTTATACAAATGTGTAGGCATTGGACGGATTTATAGTAGTTTTCTCCTCGAATGGACGTATTTATTATGTCTCCGAAAGTGTTACGTCTCTTCTTGGATATCTTCCGAACGAGTTAGAGAACACGACTATTTATAATATAACATATCAAGAAGATCAGCCACACTTGTATAATGTCTTGTTGAATCCTGGAAGCACGCGAGATAAACGCGCTGTGAAAAAAGGTACTCTTCATGAGTAATGGAGAGCCAGGAGATTTGTACAATTTTTATTACATACAATCTTTTGTATTGTGACAGAAGACCAAATATCTTTCACGTGTCACATAAAAAGGGGCGGACTCAATTTTCAAGAAGATTCTGTTTATGAACTTGTACAATTTATCGGATATTTCCGTGAGTGAAAAATCTCAAAAATTTTAAATTTCTGTAGCATATTTTGCAAATTATATATTTTTAAAGTCAAGGTTTTTTTACAAAATAATTTTATTTTTAAGGTCAAGTAATTTCGTATTATTGCAGGGTCTGCTACGGATAACGATGTCGACAACCTACTGCCAAATCAAAAATTTAGTAACACCAACGCATCAGACAACAAGTATTATCGCTGGCTGTGTACAATATATATATAAAATTAAAGTTGCACTGGAATGTAAACTTACGTTTAATTTTGCAGATTAGTATTCGTGGGTACAGGACGTCTTCAGACTCCACAACTTATCCGGGAATTATCCGTGACAGACAGCACGAAGTCAGAATTCACATCCCGCCATAGTCTGGAATGGAAATTTCTCTTTTTAGATCACAGAGCGCCGCCCATTATCGGATACTTGCCTTTTGAAGTTTTAGGCACTTCCGGTTACGATTATTATCACGTGGACGATTTAGACAATGTCGTTACATGCCATGAATCATGTGAGTAACGAAAAAAAACGTAAATACATGCAGCGTAAATTATTAATGGCTTTATTAATCTTTAGTGATGCAGAAAGGCGAGGGAACATCTTGCTACTATAGATTCCTTACGAAAGGTCAGCAATGGATTTGGTTGCAGACCAGATTTTATATCACGTACAATCAATGGAACTCGAAACCAGAATTTATCGTGTGCACCCATTACGTGGTTAGTTATGTCGACGTAATGAAGGAATTGCGCGCGGAATCGAGGGGTTACGATAAAACGGAAAATCAGGATGTTTTAATACCCGTAAAACAAGTAAGACTATAGATGCGATATAATACGCGCGATCGTACAATTTCATAATTATTCCAATATCAATTGTAATATCAATTATTGCAATATCAATTGTATAGCACAAGACAAATACGTATGTATAAAAACTGCAAGAAATTAAAAACCGTTTATATAGAGAATACATTTCCGCCAACTATTAAAATAATATATAATATATAATATATAATAAAATAATAACTTTTTACGTTATATAAATTTTATACTTAAATTATACAAACTTTATGTGGAGTAGATATTAATAGACATTAATAGACATATTAACTGATAAATAATTTCTTATACATGCATATATTGCTTCTTGTTTTTCTGACTCTATTGTAATTATAATTATTGTTATTGCATATTTTATTAAAAGAATATCGCGTGAACAGAATATTTTCTGTATAAAAAATAAAAGATAGACGGAAAATTAAATAATACAGTATAGAGACATGAAAATAATAGTTAAAACTTATTTAAAAAATATAATAAGAAAGAGAAAAAAAAGAACAGGCGTTATTACGCGCATAGATTTTTTCTTGCACACAAATCCTTAGACAAACAGAGTTGAATATAATGAAAAATCATTTAATTTGAAGTAATAACAGTAATAATAATATGTGTATAAAATAATGAAATATTTAAAAAAACATTTTTTACAGAAAGAAGGAGAACTTTCTTCTTACATATA